AAAGCCTAGTTCGTCGGCCCGTTATTTCTCTTTACTTACGCAGTCGAGCAGACATGGCCTCATTGCTGGCCTTTTTTTGTTCCGCACATGTCCGCGCGCACTCGCTCCGAGAAACGCGCAACTGCTGATGCCATGATGCACAGAGAGTCCGGGAATAAACTACTGTACTCAAGTAATTCAACAACAACTCAAATGACAAAGTGCTTGACATGTTGTTAACACCTATTAACCTGCACATTCCAATTCCAATTCCAATTCCAAAGTGTAAGACTGGTCTTCTAGAAAATAGCGCGGGGGGGGGGGGGTTGGTTCTTTACTTAGCATCTTCTCCCCCCCCCTCCGCAGCAAAGCAAACCTGTAACATACCAAGCACCAGGTTCCCCTCGTCCCGACGACACCGTTCCCGTTCCAAGTGCCCTCTTTTTTTTTCTCCCGCAGCGTACTAGCGCAGCACCAATCGCAGCTGTGCATTTCAACCTCGCGCCTGCCATCTGATGTAGCGTGGAAACATGGCGTGTGTTAGGCCTACTGCACTTGGCGCTGTGGTGTGTGTGTGTGTGTGTGTGTGTGTGTGAAGCCGAGTGCGAGAGACGACGCTGCATGGCGAATACATGTGTGCAGTGCAATACTGACTGTGACTAACTGTAACTGTAGTTGTGAAAGAATCCCAATATCAACGCTTATGTTGATTAAAAAAAAACTTTCGATCTATATGACACTTTGCTGGTCATGCATGCATGCATGCAAGTGGTAGGTAGGTATTGTAAGTAGCCCCCAAAGCGGAAAAAAATAGCCCACGGTTTTTTTTTTCTTTCTGTATTTCGCTTCGAGTAAGTAAGTAAAATAAAGTAAAATAAAGTAAAATAAAGTAAAATAAAGTAAAGTAAAGTAGACTTCAATCCAAGGAATTCCTACCCGCCAAACCCTTCATCCAACCAAGCAAAAGCACGCAAAAATAAACCATTCGGTGGCTGTGCAGTTGCAGTTGCAGTTGCTGTGCCATCTCTCCCTTTGGTATCTTCCCCCCGGCTCATCTCCACCCCCATAACCCATAAACCTACTAACTTACCATAGCCCACCTACACACAAGCGTATATACATATACATGTACCTCAGCCACACACACACACACAGACGCACTTCAGGGCTCAAACGCATAACGCATAATGTTCGCCCCAGTATATCTTGTCTGTCCATCCACTCGCGTACTTACCCTTCCCCCCTTTCCACTTTCCACGTCCGCTGTACCTACCCATCTACTTAGCTACTTGGTGCTAGTTTCTCACACACACACACCCATCTACGCAGCTGCATACGCAACCCCTCCTTGTTTCCGCTACCAACCCACCCTGTGCTCTTCCCCACCATGATTCGCAGCAATCGTGTCTGATGCCCGAAACAAGTGCATCAGCATCTTGTTTTGAAAAAGCAAGCATGACGGTGACGGTGACGGTGACGGGGGGCGCGCGCGCGCGTATCTAGATTGTTTCCAGTGCCCCTTGTCTACAGTATGCAATCGCATTGTACCCGTTCTTTTCCTTCTTTGGAGCCGTCTTTGCTGTTTTCGGATTGGGACCGAGGATACGTATGTGGGTGGAGGGGTTGGTTGTGGCGCAGCTTGGTGTGGCGCAGCTTGTTAAACTTGGGGCTTGGTTTGACTGACTTGGGGCTAACATGGGCATGGGCATGGGCATGGGCATGAGCATGGCGAGGCACATGGGTGGAGAATGCTGGCATCGCTACTGTTTGGGTTTCGAGTTGGGCGTCTATTTTTGAGGTTGCAAGATGGAGGATAGGAGATGTGTGTGTGTGTGTGTGTGTGTGTGTGTGTGTGGTGTGTGTATATATGAGATGGATCATGTCCTCAGGTTGGCCATTTAGATATTCCCAAGGCAATTTTTCTTTACTTATCCAAGCATCTACATCTTAAACTCTTTTTATTTTTTTTCAGTAATACAATTCTGCTATACGCAGGTCTTTCTCATCTTCCAGGCGAAGACTATCCCTTCTTCTTCTTCTTTTTCTCAACTTCTTATTCCCATTTTTTTTTCTTCTTTTCAAACATAAGTACCTCGAATCAAATCCAACATTGCAAAATGGCGCCCGTGCTTAAACTCTTCACTCTCTTGAACCGTATGCCCCCCTCTCTACTACATCCCACCACCCCTCCCATTCTAACGCTACAAAGTCTCCATGTACGCCGCAGCCCAAGGCAAGCAATTCATCACCGGCGCATGTACTTCGGACGCAGCCTGCGCCTCTGGCTGCTGCGCCTTCAAGACGGGAAAATGCGCTGCGCCGCTGGTGGCTCAGGAACGCGGTGAAGGGTGTGGGTTTGGAAATGCGCAGCCGAATAATAATGCGTCGGAGGCGCAGAGAGCGGCGAATGGGCTTGGAAATGGAAATGGAAATAATAATGCTGGGAAGAATGCTGGTGCTGGAAATGGTGCTGGAAATGGTCAAAACAACAACAGTGGCACCATGCAAGCCGCATCCTCGTCGGGATCAAACAGCAACAGTACTACACCCGCACCCGGCACCGGCACCGGCACCGGAAAAGGCGCCGGCACAGGCCAAGCAAAAGGCAAACAATTCATCACGGGCCCATGTACCTCAGACGCCGACTGCGCGTCATCATGCTGCGGCTTCAAAAGCGGGAAATGCGCGGGCCCCGTGGTAGCGCAGGAGCGCGATGGCGGATGTGGATTTGGGAATGCGGCGCCGAATGATAATGCGGCCAAGGCGTTGGTGGGGAGGAGTTTGGGGAGACGGGGACCCGTGCTGATGTGAGAGGGTTAGTTTGGGAGTAAGTAAGTACTTTTGTTTTGTTGGTTGGGGGGGTGGTGTAGGTCTGGTGTAAATCTGGTGTGGTCTGGTGTGGTCTGATCTGGTTGGTGCTAGAGGAGCATCTCTGCAGTAAGGCCTGGACATGTAAGATGTTTGTTGATTTTTCTTTTTTGAATTTTTCTTCTTCTTCTTCCTCTTCTTCTTCTTTTCATTCCTTGATGCATTCACATGGTACATACACAGTAGACACTACATACAGATAGTGGAGAGAAATTGTAGGATGATGTAACGACTACCTTGACATTCATATCCATATCCCCATCGCTATCCCTATCCATATCCACGGTTAATCATTCACAATGAACGTCGAGTGCAAAAACCCACCAAATATAGTATACCTACAATAGATAAGATAGACATGACAGACAGGATAGACGAGGTGAGTAAGGGCAAGACAAGACAAGACAAGACAAGACAAGGTGTATATACATACTCTCCATGCCCCCCCGAGTCTCATCAAGTCGAATACATGCAATTTACCCTACCCATGCCACTTTTTGAAAAACTCACGTTTCCCATGCCCTATTTATATCCATATCTATATCCATCTCCATGTGCATCTCTCCCCAACCAACCAAACCAAACCAAACCAAATCAACCAACCAATTTCAATCAAACCAAACCAAACCAAACCCAAGTAAATCAACTACAACAGAGTCGCATATGACATATGGCATATGGCATATGGCACAACACCAAATGAAAATGCCCCAAGTACCCCCAACTCCCAAACAACAAGCCAACGAGCCAACGGACACGGAAACAAGGCATATGACCCCCCCGGACATGGTGAAACGCCCCAGTGGTGCAGCATGCCCGACGACAATCCATGTTTGAAACAAGGTCATTTTTCTGCAGCACGTGTTTCTGCTTTGCCGAGTCATGGCCATGGTATTGTATCAAGTTAGTGGCTGATAGTAGGTGTACAAGTACGGAGGCGGGTAGAATGTAGTAGTAGTATGTAGTAGCTGTTAGTTAGTTAGTTAGTTAGTTAGTATGCATGTACGTATGGGCCGCAAACGGTGCTGCATGGGGGGG